TACCAGTCCTTCATCAGCTTAGACGAAATTGGGTGAATGCATCTCATACTACTGATTTACTGGTAGTCACGAAAGCAATATTTAATTCGAAAAATATGTGAAATTGAATGGAAACGTCAGCTTAAGTCATATGATTGGGGTAAAATTCTTCTTCTACCAGTCCTTCATCAGCTTAGACGAAATTGGGTGAATGCATCTCGAAACTCCACTCAAATACGAAAATAGTTAGTGCTAGTGTCGCAAACTACTCATTCCTAAAATATGCACCTCTGTCGACTGCAACAGCAAATGCGTGTTTACTTTCTCGTCAATCCCACCAGATAAGTGTGGCTTTGATGGGGTAAACGTCGCCACGATACTCAAAACTCGGGCTTGAGTACCGCTGGGGCCGGGAACTGCGGGTCTGCCTGAATTGGGAGGCGAGGCCAATTGAAACTGGATGCTTTTCTGAGACATAACTTTCTTGTTTTGTGGACCAAAGTCAAATGTAAGTCCTGAAGTGACCTTAACCAGCCTGAGCTGAATAATTTCTCAATCGGGAATTGCGGATTGTCTCAAAATCTACTCATCTCGAAATGAATGGCTCATCTTCTCATTTCCTCGTCATCTTGACTTTTGAGTCTTAAACTTTGACAAGTCCCCTACCGACTACTCGGACTTTGCCGGTGGAGGGTTCTGCACCAAATGGCGCTTTCTTAAAGTGAGGCTTCTTCCCTAAAGCTGGCCTTCTCCACATTCTAACAAAGTCGGATTTCGAGACCAACTCTTGAACAAGAGCTTAATACACTCTAGACTGCATAAAGTGATTTAAACAATTTTTGCTTTACAACTGAGGTTTCGAGAATACTATTTCGTTTAGGGCGATAAGAGACTGGCAGTTGAGTTTGCCCATAATCAGTTTCACTTCCATTTTAATTCACAAAGCCGAGGATTATTCATCACCAGTCCCCTTATCACCTTAAACGAAATTGTGTAAATAGATCTCATACTACTGATTTACTGGTAGTCACGAAAACAATAAATTACTCGAAAAATATGTGAAATTGAATAGAAACGTCAGCTCAACTCATATCATTGTGGAACAATTCTTATTCTACCAGTCCTTTATCACCTTACACGAAATTGGGTGAACAAATCTCATTTTCTAAAGTTGTCACAAGATCATTTGATCCCCTCCACCCTCGTTTTGGCAACCAAATGTCAAATTCTGTATTGTTTTTTCCCTAATTTGTTCTGGATTTCAATTAATCTGTGCCCAGCAACGCCGGAATAAAGCTTTTCGTGGCATTGCTCATTTGACCATTTGTCCCGGCCTCAAAGGATCACTTTCATCGTGTTCCGCTCGCTTCGTTCCGTGCATCTTCCGCTTTTCACGCGACCTCTCGCCTCGCCCGTGCCCCGAGAGAGTTGGTGGACAGGCCACATCTTCCCACTCGCTCCCTCTTCTGGCCGCCAGAGACCTCTTGTCAGCTCCACCTTCCCCCCCACACACACCCTCACAGGCGCTCTTGTCTCCTTCAGACTCTTGCTTTGACGAGGCTTCGCCAAAAGCCTGCAGGCACCAAAGCCTGCTTCCAGTCGGCCTCGGTCGGAGAGCCAGTTTTAATTGGATTCAAGCCCGGCCCCTTCCGGGCACACCCCATCTCGGGTCGCCACGTATGATCTGGCATTTCGGGCATTTTGGGCATTTTGGGCATTTCTGACCCGACGCCAAGGCCTGCATCTGGCCCACCGCGAACAGACTGACATATTTACCGCTTGGCAACCGCTTCGGTCAATGACGGTTGCGTCGGAAACCGGTTATTCGCTTTGCTCCGCCCGTCGTTGAAGGTACCATCGCTCGTCTCCTCCACTTCCACGTCCGCGCTGAATGCATCCTTTGCGTGGCTACCATTCGTGCCTGCACGCCTCCAGCTCCACACCTTTTAGCATATCCATTCATACACAATTTCATCCATCCACCTCTGACCGTCCCCCCATGTGTGTGTGTGTGTGTGTGTGTGTGTGTGTTTGTGTGTTTGTGGCATGGTTTGTGTCTGCCAAATCTGTATTTATTGCCTTTTTGTATGATTATTGTGAGTGCATTTGCCAAATGGCAAGTTCACTTGTGCCGGCCTCATCGACGTCACCCACTTGTGGGCGGGACTTGAACCTCCCTCTGCTCGCCCCGGTTGATGGTACCGCGGTCCGACTGCTCTGGGATACGTCAGCTCTCCCCGCTCGTATGAAATTTGGCGCGAGGTTTCGTCTACAATTTATGGCCATCTTATCACCATCTCCCATCTTCCATCTTCCATCTACCACTTTGTCCCGTCGGTCTTCCACAGTTGGTCAGGACCGGCCCGATTGCCTCATCCTCCTCCATCCTCCGCCCGCCCACCCCACCTGCCAACTTGCCAACCACATGGCAGCGCAAACGTACATATTTCTTTGCGTTCACATTCAACAAGTCTCCTTTTCATCTCAACCAACTATCCATCCATCCGGTCAACCATCCATCTTTCCATCAATCTCTCTCTCTCTCTCTCTCTCTCTCTTTTTGCCTACTCCTCGTCATTTACATTTGTCATTTTGTCCATGTCCTCGTGCATTTTTTGCTTTATCTGAATTCCTGTCTCCGGCTGGTACCGGTTTATTCCCTTTTTCCCTTCTACCCACCTCGACTCGTCATGCCTTGATTGCCAAGACGCAGTGTCCGTTCGCTATTCTCCTTTTGGTGCTAACATGAGAAATGGACTTGCCTCCTTTTTGTCCTATTTCCCATTTTCCATTTCCAATTTCCTCTTTCCTCTTTCCTCAACCCAACGCTCCAATTGAGTGTCTTGCAACTGCCGAACTGGTCGGCAGCATTGGCCAAATGGGCCACTTTCTCGTGGCTGGAGGCTTCCACGACTCGCTCCTCTTGCGGACGTACAAAAGGAGTCGCGGTTTCACGTTGGCCGTTTTTGCATTTCGTCCACGGACTGTGCAAGAAGGTGTCAGCCCTGCTTGACCCTCGCGCATCCGAGAAGGCGGTTGCATGCTCGAAGGACCAGCGTCCTGTACCTCAAGCGGCTCGACTGACAAAGACCCATTCAAGGTCGACTGGGCAGGACTGGGGCCGGCGGCGAGTCCTTTCGCGACGCTGTCTTGGCCCATCTTTTCTGCAGAAGAGGCGTTGAAATGCCGGTTTTTTAGACTAGCTCGGGTCATGGCATTTGCGTGGTTTTGTAGCAACACATTCAACTTTGCGAAATGGGTTACACGGCGAATGTATTTCTCGTTGTCACGGCGTCCTGCTCTTTGGTAGATGATAGTTGGAAGAAAAGTTGGGTTTCGAGGAATCTGTGGTTTCATAATTGTTGGGATTACTTCCATTTCGAGTGGAAGTGTGAGGTGAAGAGACTCGAA